TCTCCTTTTCTTTGCACTCCCTAGTCCTCTTACATTCCAACAAAGAATCTTCATTCCACTTGTTTTCTAGACCCGTTCTTATTTCCAATTCCTATTCTCTTTTTCTTCTCCCTCTTCCTATTTACAGACTTCTGATAGGATACACCACAGGCTAGCCTTTCCACCTCATTCATTCTCCTCTTTCTTTTTTTGTTATCTTCTGCCTCCTTTCTAAGATAGACCTTCCCTTTGGCTTCTTTTTGTTCCTTTCCTTTAAGTTTGGGTGGCTCTCTGCAAACATCTTCTCCCTCATCTAACCCACAGAATTCCTTTTCCTTCTCTTCAGTGCCTACAACAGTTTCATTTACCCCAGCTTCCTTCTTAGAATCCATCACTTGACTCAAATTCAAAATTTGTTCCTCCTCTATCTTTATCTCCTCCCCCATCTTCTTTTACTACCGCACATGGGTCATTATCCGCCATCGGTGAAGTTTCAACAGCTAGAGCTGCAAAATCCAAAGGCTGATGATTACTACAAGGATCAATTTCAAATGAATTTTGACAGTAAAGTGGGGAGGAAGAAAGAATTGGATTGAGAGGAAGGGGGGAAGAAACTCCCTGATCCTGAATCCGGTTTTCATCGATTACTCCAGATACAAACCCTGATGGTTCGGGTTCAGGTACAATGTCCACCTGCGCAGCTGGGGGGAGCTGTTCCTCAAGTGGTTTTCTTTTTGATAAATGATTAATACTTTATTGAAATCAAGAGCTTAAAACAATACAAGCATCCCTTTGAGAGGAGGGGGTTGCAACCTCCCCCATATTTAAAACAAAAGAAATAGATTAAAAGGGAATTACAGGTGTTGTTAGAATTAGATTTTTATTTCTGCTGTTAGAGTGTTGTCAGTCTAGGATGCTGTTAGGGTGGGCCGCCAGGGGCATGCTTGTAATTTCTTTTTCTTTTATTTTACATCATGTTAATACAAATAGGAAGCTGGGAGCCACCAGCTATAGTTTTTGACTCTCAAATACTTTTTTCCTCTTCTCTTCTCTCCTCTCTCTCTCTCTTCTAGAAAGAAAATATGGTATCAAAGCATAACTCTGGGCGATATGAATCTCTTTTCTCCTCGGAATCACATTCCTTCCACCCAGTTTTCTGACTCTTGGACAGTGAAGGGAGAAACCCTAATCGGACTAATCAGAACCATCAACTGTTGCTGTTTTTTCTGGGTTCTTCCTTGGTCGTAGCACCAAGGTAACCCTAGTAGGAGGGGGCCGATGCTGTGAAGGCTCTCTTTCTTTTGGCTGATGCTGTGAAAACTGACCAACCTCCACCTTACCATGGTGTTTACAGAAAGTCCACAAGTGGATACTACACATTTGTGGGAGGAAATCTAGTGACATGGAGAAGAAAAAAACAAAGTGTAGTTGCAAGGTCAAGTGCTGAAGCAGAGAGTATAGGGCTATGGCACATGGGGTCGCTAAAGTACTTTGGTTGAAGAATCTTCTAGGGGAACTTGGGATAACTGTTCACAATCCTATGTCTCTTTACTATGACAATAAGGCAGCTATAAATATTGCTAGCAATCCTGTCCTACACGATAGGACCAAGCACATTGAAGTGGACAAGCACTTATAAGAGAAAAACTAGAAAAGGGAGAAATTTGTACTCCTTGTGTCAACTCCAAGGAGCAACTAGCCGGTGTTCTCACAAAAGGGCTTCCATACTTGTGGCATAATGAGTTGTGTGACAAGTTGGGCATGAGAGATATATTCAGCCCCACTTGAGGGGAGTGTTGTTAATTATTATTTTTTTTTATTTCTGCTGTTAGAGTGTTGTCAGCATGTTCTTTTCTTTGTTTAAGTTCTTATTATTAGGGTGGGCCACCAGGGGCATGCTTGTAATTTCTTTTTCTTTTATTTTACATCATGTTAATACAAATAGGAAGCTGGGAGCCGCCAGCTATAGTTTTTGACTCCCAAACACTTTTTTCCTCTTCTCTTCTCTTCGTATCTCTCTTCTCTCCTCTCCTCTCTCTTCTAGAAAGAAAATAACAGGTGAACCCAATATAAAGTACCCCTGTTTGTTCCTTGTTTAGCAAGACAATCAGCCAAAGAATTTGCTTATCTTCTGACCCAGTGTACTCTTACATACATGTCCCTCATATACTATTTAAATTTTTTAATTTCATCTCTGTAGTACCAAGGAACAAAATCCGGGTTTTGTAGCCATCCCACCACCACCTTGGAATCTCCTTCTATTATCAAATTTACTAGGCTAAGCTGGTGAGTAATCTGAATTCCTTGTAATGCAGCAAGCAGTTCCGCTCTAGAAGAATCTCCCCCCACCCGGTCCCAAGAAAAGTGCCAAGATGTTCCCATCCTTGTTTCTCACCACCCCACCTACACCAAACCGGCCTGGATTTCCTTGATTGCTTCCATCAAAATTCAATTTTAAGCACTCTTCTAGAGGTTATACATTGCTTTGAAAGATGACAAACTTCACATTGTGGAGCAAGACAAAACATAGACCGAAATAAACTAGAAATCAAATGCTTCATAAAACTGAAAGAAATATGTCCAAGACAACAATGCCACAATTGCATTTGACTCAAATTAACACATCAACCCTTGATTTGAGGCTTGGTCAAGAAGATAAACCCCATCAACTTCATGTCCACTTCCAGTTGTCCTCCCCATGCTTAGGTCTTGAAAAGCACAATGAGAAGGAAAGAATGTTATATAACAATTATTGGCTTTGGTAAGAGAACTAATAGATGAGAGGTTCTTATGCAACTAGGGAACATTAAAGGCAAAACTCAATAAAAAATTAGTGGTAAGTTTGATTTCACCCAACTTGAGATTGAGGTTTGAAACCCATAAAAAACTATGATCTTACCTTTCACTGAGAATAAATTATATGGGGTGAAGTAGGATGGCATACTAGTCATATGGTCACAGGTCACTTGCTCCAGATTCAATAATCTAGGAGTTAGGAAGTGAAGTATGACAAGCAAGTGCAGTACTTGATTTAGCAAAATTACTGGAAGGAGTGCATGAACCAGCAAAAGTAGATGACCCACCCCTTTCCAAATGAATCAGAAGACTCCTTAGTTTATCCATCATATCCAATATATCAAGAAAGGAGGATTGAGGAGCAAGAAACTGACTATGACCACCAATAGTAGCAACATGAGTATTACCCTTCTTCTTAGTCTTAAACCTTTCGGGTTTCAAATGAGGGTTAACTTCCAACACCGGTCTTTGATATGTTTAGGTTTCTTATAATATTCACAAATCACCTCTTCAGTCCTTTCACGCACAACATGCTTACTTTGGGCTTAGTAGATGTAAAGGTTGAATGCTCACCAATTGGAAATTCGTACCATGGCAACTCTCCTGCTCTCCTCACCTTACACCAATGAATAAGCAACTAGGAGGGATAAAATATCAATACTCAGGATATGTTGCCTAGTAAAATAAAACTCCATTTTAACCCAACCAGGAAAAAAACATAATTCTTAACGTATTTCCAATATTGCTCAGCATCCTCAGAATCTTTATATTCCAAGGCCTCCAAATGATCAATTTTTTCCCAAAGTGACTCTAAAGAAGAGAAATACATAGTCACTGTCCTTTTCCCCTGACATATATTGCATGCCTCTCTTCAAAGTAAATGAATTCTAGCTATATTCTTTGCTTGGGAATAGGTTGCAACCACCCTATCCCAAATGCCTTTGGTAGTTGAAATAAACATGTAGTTACAGGTCATGTGGCAACATGGAGCATACCAGCCAACACATCACTATCAAATTCCCTTGCTTCCATTTGGCAAATTTTAGGTCTTTAGGCTTTGGCTTAGTTTCTTTACCAATAAGGAATCCAAAAGCTTACCTCTTCCTCCAATGGTAAGCTTAGTAGATTGAAACCACTCCAGAAAACTAATCCCATTAAGTTTTACAATGGTTATCATTCCACTAGAGACCATCAACACTTCTAGGAAGAACACTACAAGGAACCTAAGCATCCTTGAACAAGTTCATAACTCATAAAATCTTTCTCGACAACCCAAATACTCTCCAAATGCTAACTGGCACAGAACAACCCAAGACAACTGGGTTTAAGCTCGGACTAGAAGCAAATAGAGGGAACAGAAATTTCCCAAATATTACCTAGGGTTTAGAAAAATGTGGGATCACTTCCCATCACTCTAGAAATGTAATACAATCCAAACACACTAGGTATCATAATGAAAAACAACTTCAGATGAGTAGAGAATCCATCAACATCACATCTGAATTTTCAACTAATTTTTATTTGACCAAGAAAATATCATAGCATCTCCTAATAGCCACAAGATGTATACCAAAATGCTCCTAAAATCAGGGCACACCAATCTGAATCAAACTCAAGAACAGTTTCTGCTACCTGCACAAAGGGGCTCTTATGTCAGCAAGTGCCTCATGAAACAATAGTCAGCAGCAAGAGTTCTCTGAACCTTTTGTTGTTTTGATACCAAGTAGTCAATGAAAAGGAAGAGAAGAGAAGATTTGAATAAGTGGGATCTGTTAATGTTCACTCACACAAAAATATATTTATACTGAATGGGAAAATTACATGAATGTCCCTCATAAGGCTCCCAACTACAAAAGAAACATTAAGACTAAAAAGACCCAACAATATACAACTAGTTCCAATCATTAGAGGACTAATATTCTCAACAAGATGTAAACATGAGATAATTGTAAGAGGAATAAACCACCAACAGCTAACTATTGAACCAGAAATTTGTTTTACCTGGCTTGATCACCAACTTTTGATGATAAGATGCCTTTTCAAAGAGGGGAACACTTTGTTAAGATACACCCAAGCATATTGCCCTATTTTAAACAATTGGGCCAGCCAATGAAAAGGCCCACAAGTCTTCTTATTCTGATAAAAGTAACACTTAGTGGGCTTATTTAGAAGACTCATAAAGAAATAGCTGAATACAGTTGCACACCTAAAGATAAGGCTTTTACCTTCTTCAATTCCTTTTATGCCAGGAAGAACCTTAAGAAGATCCTCCATTTCCAACATCTCATAAAATGAAGCATATTTCTTGACATCCTGCAAATTTTGAGAATTATTAAGCATTAAATTCATAGAAAAGTTGATATAGATCCATTATATGAAATAGCATTTGATCACCTGAACTTCAAGCATGAAGCATTTGTTCAAAAGAAGAAGAGAACCAGGTCCAATTCTGGGACAAATGAAAAAGGAAGGTTGAACAAGAATAGATAAAAACAATACATAGTAAATATTCCAGCTAACTGATATTCAAAAGAAAAACCATTGTTGTATGGCAGAAAGGTCCTACCTTTGCACTCTTTTACAAGTAGTCCTCCTACATTTGTTTATACAGGTATTGTATGCTAAACTATTTCAATGATTCTAGTTTTGGTGTAGGCATGTACAGTGAGTAATTATACAAAAAGAAGACATGCTGCAAAAAAAAAAAAACTTTCTAGACTGAACAATTACACAAGAAAACAGCAATTCAAATTTAAAGAAAGCTTGGGGTGGAATGTCTCTGAACTGCTCCTGTATCAATAGCCATGAAAAAATTGTCCCCATCACCCTTCTAACTCAGCTCTTCTATTGAACAACTCTTGTTTTCAAAGATCGTTTGGTTTCTCTTCTTCCAAATGCACCAAATTATAGCTGCTGGAATGGTGCTGCATAGCTTCCATCCTCTTCTATTGAGAACCCGCAACTTCCAGCCCTACAAAGGGTCCAAAGTGATGCTGGCCGAGACCAAACGAGGTTTATGAGTCTACGGAAATGATTGTACACCTCACAAATGGCCAGGAAATTGAGAAATAAGTGATCTGCAGATTCTCCGCCCATCCCATAGAAAACACAGCTCATTGTGTCTAGGGATAACCCCCTCCTTTGCAGGTTATCTCTAGTGAGAGATTTACACATCACCACAGGCCAGAGAAAGAAAGCAACCTTGGAGAGAATTGGGAAATCCAGATCTGTGGGAAATCTGACTCTGGATTGTTATTTGGCTTGTTGAAAAATGATCTAACAAAAGTTCACTGAGCTTTCTCATCTCCAAGTCCTTGAAACCCCTTGACTCTGCTGTGGAGTTGTGCCATTAAGAAGCCTGATCAGGGAGGCCATATCCTCTATTTCCCAGACAATTAGGGGTCTACTAAAAGACAGCACCAAGACACAGCCCCACATTGCACCTCATATGAATCTGGCACCTGAGCATCCCTGTTAACGGCTAGGATGAGAACTTCCCTCCAGAGGCTTATTCTGTGCCCTGCACCTATTTTCAACTGAGTTCCTTGAAGAAATCTATTATGAAATTAGCCACAGCCCCTCAAAATTGAGCAGCCATAAGGCTCATGACTTATACCTGGAGCCCAGTTGAAATTCCTTGTTCCAAACTTTTGTGCAATTATATGCCTCCAAATTCATTGTGTTTATGTGATGAACCTCCAAAACCGTTTCCCAGTCCATGCTGAAGTCATCACCTTCAGCCTGATTCCCAAACCCCCAGCATGAGTTGGTTAGCAAACCTGTCTTCAATCAACCACATGCATTTTCTTCTCCCTCCAACCTCTCCACAAAAAGTATCTTTGCAGCTTCTCCAATCTTGCTGCCACTCCAGATGGCATTCAAAACTATGACATGAAGCATGTAGGTATGAAATAAACTAATCTTCAGCAGTGTGGTCTTTGCTCCTATGGACAGGCACTTTGGCATCCATGCAGCTAGTTTTAGTCCATGCACTCCAAAAGCAGAGCCCCACAAAGACCCTGTTGTGCATTTTTCTCTCAAAGGTAAACCAAGGTATGTTGTGGGGAGTTTTCCAACCCAGCATCCAAGAATTTCTGCCAGGTGAGTTATATCTGCAACCTTCCCAACAGGTATAATATTAGCTCTTTGCTAGCTCCACCTCAAGACCGGAGACTGAAAGGAAGAACCTAAGATGCATTAGATGGATTGGTTCATCTGATAGGAAGAATAAGGTGTCATATGCATACTCTAACAAGGTAAGTTACAGCTACCACCTCCACAATAGGGGTATCTCGCTCTTTGTTAAGTTCACCTCAAGACTGGAAACTGCCTCAAACCATTTCAGCACAAATCTTAGATGCATCAGCTGGCTTGGTTCAGCTGAAAGGAAGAGTAAGGTGTCAACTGCATACTATAATAAATACACCATAGCTCCAGAGTTATTTACCCAAAAACCATCTAAATAGCCCCCTTCTACTGCTCTGTTGATCATCTTTGATAAGGCCTCCATTATGCAAAGGTCACCTTGATGAATCCCTCTTGAGCTTTTCAAGAAATCTGCGAATTCCCCATTATACAGAACTTTAGTGTTGTCACACATCCTTTGATCCAATTTCTCCATACTCCTAAAATTCATCCTTTCTGATATGTAGCCAAAATCCCCAACTTACATGATCATAGGCCTTCTCCAACTACCTTGCATAACCGCTTCTCTCCACTATTCAACTTTGAATCTTATAGTTCGTTAGCTACTAGGACTCCATCCAGTAGCTGCCTATTAGGTACAAATGCACCTTGTGATGGAGATACAATTTATGGGAGAACCTTTCTCATGTGGTTGGCTAGAACTTTTGCCAAAATTTTGTAAAAGCTACCAGTTTGACTAATTGGCCTAAAATCTTTAAGATGTACAGTCCCTCTCACCTTTGATATTAATGTGCAAACTTCATTTCTTTTTTGATCAGCAAGAAAATTGTTAATTGTATTAATATGTGAAAACAAAGTTACAGTAGAGTGGGTGTTCAGCCACCCAAAGATACAGAAGACGAGAAGAAAAATGCCCAAGATAAAAAGATTTGCAATAATGCCCAAAACAGGTGCTGCCTATAGACCCCCTGCTTTGCTAATATGTTAGCCAACCCATTTGCAATCCTTCTTACCCAGGTAAAAGTAGTTTTCCTTGACAGTAGAGTGGGCGTTCAGCCACCCAAGATACAGAAGACAAGAAGAATGCCCAAGATAAAAAGATTTACAATAACGCCCAAAACAGGTGCTGCCTATAGACCCCCTGATTTGCTAATATGTTAGCCAACCCATTTGCAATCCTTCTTACCCAGGTAAAAGTAGTTTTCCTTGACAGACTTTCTATTTCCCTGAAAGCATGCCTATAAATCCAAGGCACATTGCGCCTAGTAGTGGTCCAGGATACAACCAATTTTGAGTCCCCTTCAACTTGCAAGATTTTGAAGTTTGATTGCTTAGCAAATTTTAGGCCTTGTAACAAAGCCACCAGTTCAGCCTTCAGTGAATCTCCAACCCCTAAAGGTCCCAAATACATAGCCATCAACTTGCCTGAAGCTCTAAACAAACCTCCAAGACCTTCCATTCCCTAGGGGTGCAAACAGATTGTATCGAATTCAGATAAGGGTATATCCGAATTTGATTCGTTAAGAAATATAGCATATCCAAATACAGTTCAAATCGGATGGATTTAAAAACAGCTATATTCGAATTTGGTTTGATTAAATAATCGGATATCTGATTAAAATCCAATTCGATTTGATTGTTGAAAAACAAAGGTTAAAAAATATAAGTTCCAAGTATTGGGCTGTCAATGGGTCAGGTTGGACCTGATGGACCCAATGGCCCCAAGTCAATTGGGTCGGTTCCAGTTCCAGGAACCAGAGTCGGTTCCGGTTCCTGATATACTGTCCTGATTGTTCCACCCAGTTCCGAACCAATTCAGACCCGACCCAGCTATATATATAATTTAACATATTATATTATATATTATATATATAATATGTTAAATTGTATAATTTAATATATATATATATTAAATAATTAATATTATATAATACTTTCAATAGGTTCATTATATTCAGGTCCATCAGGCCAGACCCAATTGTTCCAAGAACTGATCGGTTCGGTTTTGGGTCTAAAATTACAGACCCTATCGGATCCAGTTCAGTAACGGGTCCTTAGTATTTCCTGTCGGGCCAGTTCCAGTTCTACCTTGACCCAACCCACACCCAACCCGTTGACAGCCCTATCTAAGCGACCTCAACCAATGTGTTTGGAATGATGTTGTAGTTGAACAGCAATCTGACTTACAGAGCTGAAACAGAAAAGAAAATGTTAAAAACAAAATAAACCCAAGTGAACAAGATAAAGGAATTGATTAAAACCCACCTATGACTTTTGATAGGTGTCACTTGATTGGTTAATATGTTTAAGATACTGGTTGATTGGTCACAAGATTGGTCACAAGTTCTTTCCACAGTAGTCAACTGATTACTGTGGCTAAATCTTGCCCTGAAATGGCATCCCATGAACTTCTTAGGGTCTTCTTGGCCACACATCCAAGGCAGAACCCTAGAAAATGAGCTCCTTGCTTCACAAAAATCAGTCCCATGGTTTTACAGTTTCTCCCAGAAAAAAAAGAAAACAAAAAGAAAAGAAAACAGTGAAGAGAAGAGAGGAGACATGAGGAACCAAGGTTTAAAGTATCAATACACCTGATACGCATGAACAGGTGTATTGGGTGTTTTGATACAACAGAATACCCTTTTTCAGCTTTGTTTTTCAAAATTGGTCAGGAGGTCACTCTTAGGCCTGCCTACCCCATGAAAATACCCAAATTCCAAAACCCCCTTTATTTCCTGTATCGGAGCCCCACCAATACAATACACCCGATACGGGGCATATCATATCGAAATTTTGAACCTTGTGGAGAACCAATCGAGTTTATGGTAGGAGTAATGCTCCAATACCATGATTGTATTCAGAGCTTAAAGAAGACAAGAGAAGTTTCAAAGAAGGAAGTGATGGCAGCTTGTAGCTTGTATCTTGCTGCCCAGACCACAAAAGCTTTTATGGTCAAGTTTTTTTTTTTTTAGAAGCAAAGGCAACTTTTTATTAAAGAAGAAACAAGCAGAAGTACATGAGAGGATGTACTGAAGCCAAGAGAGGCTTGGCCAGATTACAAAGGCAAATAACTGTCACTAAACAAGAAACCTCTAGAGACCCCTGATTTTGCTAGGAAATCAGCAACAGAATTTTGCTCCCTAGGAATCCAGACCAACTTCACATTCATAGAGTCTAGGATGTCCCTGGCTTCAGCTAAAAAGTGGGCTAATCTCCAGGGCCCTCCCTTATCCTGTAACCAAACTATAGCATTTGCAGAATCCCCTTTAATTGTTAAGGAGGATAATCCTAGCTGCTTGGCGAGGTGAATTCCTGTGAGTGCAGCCAAAACCTCAGCCTTTAGAAGCCCTTAGAAGGGAAGTTGATGAAAAAAACAGCACAACATAAGAGGCCCAGGCCCATAAATACAACATATAACAGAACACAGAATATAGACGGACTGGCCCAGACTATTTAGCTGTTACAAGTGACAACACTTCCAATGCTCTCTGACTATTCTATGGCCATCAACAATTCCTTGGTCTCTGCCTACAATGTAGAGAGTCAGTAGGCTGATTCTTATTTTACATTGTAATGTTGTATCCTTCCAGTTATAGTGCTTGGGAGCATTGCTGTATCATAGCTATACAAACTGTATCATTATGTAAAGCTCTTGTCTAATTAATCCTTGTAAGAGAAGAGCAATGTCCTTTCTCATTTTTTGAATCATTAATATATAAATCATTCTTTTGGGGCTTGGTCTGACTTTAGACACACCCATTCATCTCTCTCTCTCTCACACAACTTGTTTATGACATGGAATCAGAGCAGGTTCAGTTCTGGCTTTGAGTAGATCTGTACCTCCTATGAGAGGGCCAGAACTCCTATTTCTCTTTCATGCCATTATTTCTACCCATATATCTGTCTCATGTTCACACTTCACAATCAAATGAAACTTCACTACCAAACCTAAAGAAGAATATCTCAAATGAAGAATAGTTGCAAATATCTAGAGAAAAAATACCCCCCTCTCAAAGAACAAGGACAAGCAAGAAACCTATGATTGAAATAAAATAAAGAAAAAGTGGGCTCTTACTTGTTGTAGTCACCAACAGCACATCTCCCTTCAATTGTTTTTGTGCCATCTGTAGAGAGTTCAAACATCAAATTGCCATGTAGCACTTGTTTAAACTCATTACCAAGAAATCATAATACTAAATGCAAAAGACCCAAGAATGATGAAAGAAAATTACCAAGCAGCTAAAACAATCAGGCATAAACAATCATGACACAATGACTCAATGAGATAATACCTCTCAGCTGTGAAAAGAAAGGCTCCTGGACATGAAGTTCAAACCCTACAGTCTTCAGCACCTAATAGAAGAGGATGGCTAATTAGTGTGTTTGCAAAGATATCTCACTCTGAAACTTATAAAAACAAATAACAAAAATGGCATGTATTAGCTTACATTTGTCAATTCAGATCCCTTCTCCAAAATAATGTTATTCCAGTCATGTTCTTTTTGCTTAAATGATTCATCTTCCTGGGCCAACACCAGTTTATTAGATGTTCTCTTAAAGGCTCTAGAAGTTATGCATTGGTATAGAGCTGATGTCAGAGACTTATATAAAGGATAATGTGGCATTCCTTCTGCAACATCTGGAATCATTGAAAATAAAGTAAATGTAAGTACCTACTAAGGACTAAGGCATAACTAAATATGGTTCCAACTGTCACCCAGGACTGGACTATCAAATATGCATTTTTGAAGGTTGGAACCTGATATACAATTTATTACGATTACACTTGATCAGGTTGTATCCTGTTTTTATTTTATTAATAAATGTGTTTACTCTTCAAATATAATACATATATGTATATATATATAATATACTGATATTATCCCAAAAGGTGATTCTGGAGGTAGAGAAAGTCATGAGGGATTTCTTGTGGGAGTTAGGGGAAGGGAGGAAGGATCATGTGGTTAGGTGGGAAATAGTATGTAGGAAGAAGGAGCAGGGGGGCTTGGGATTAGGCAATCTAAGGAAGAAAAATACAGCATTACTAGGTAAATGGCTGTGGAGGTGACCTCTAGAAAGGGAGAGGCTTTGGCATAAAGTGGTAAGGAGCGTGCATGGTGCGGAAGACAACGGATGGGATGCTGGTGTTTCTCGGCGTGCTACGCTGAAATCCCCATGGAAGGCTATTCGTAGTATTCTTCCCATTTTCTTGAACTTGACTGGGTATGATGCTAGTATTGGAGATAGCATTTTGTTTTGGGAGGATGTTTGGATTGGTGACTGTGCCCTCAAGGACCTCTTTCCTTCCTTGTATTCCTTCTTGTGTTTTAAAAACGAGCCAATTCAAAGGTTCGTATCCTCTTCCTCTTCTTCTGGCATAAACTGGAATTTGGGCTTTAGAAGAGACTTGAGAGGTTCCGAGCTTGACCAGGTTGCTTTGCTCCTTAAAACCATTGATTTCGTTTGCTTGGACCCTCCTTCTGTAGATTCCCGTATTTGGAAGCATTTACCTTCGAGTTCCTTTTCTTGTGTTTCCTTCTTAGCTTCCTTGTGCTCCTCTCCTTTGCCTCAACCTTTTCATAGCAAGGAAGTTTGGTCCAAAGCTGTCCCTCCTAAAGTTGGAGCCCTTTGTTGGGAAGTCTCCCTCGGGAAAATCAACACTTTGGATGTTTTGCAAAAAAGACCTAGTCTTTGTATCTTTCCTAACTAGTGCACCCTTTGCAAAGCAAACGAGGAAAGTTGCTACCATTTACTAATCACTTGCCCTTTTGTTGTAGGCCTTTGGGAAAAGCTTTTTGATCTTTTTGGGTGTAGGTGGACAAAACCGGTGCAGATTTGCAATCTTTTTGATCCTACAACTTTCAGGTGGCCAAAGAGAAGAGGAAGAGTTTTGTGGAGGTATGTGAGAGCTGCTTTGGTGTGGACTGTATGGGAGGAATGAAATGCTAGAATCTTTAATGACAAGGAGAGGGATCAAATTTGTGTGTTTGAAAGCTTCTTATGTAGGGCCATAAGTTGGGTAAAATCCTTGGATCTGTTCTCCTCCTACACTTTTGATGACATAAGGAGAAATTGGGAACAACTGGCCAAATGTTCTGCAGTCAGAAGCAAGCCGATGGTGGATTGGAAGTCTACTGATGCAGGCATCATTAAACTAAATTTTGATGGTAGTAGTTTGGGCAACCCGGGGCCTTCTGGAATAGGGGGAGTCTTTAGAAACGAAGATCAGATTGTATCTCTATTTTCTGGTCCTATAGGGTGGGGAGACTCAGTAAATGCAGAACTCCAAGCTGTGTTACAAGGAGCAGAATATGCAAGAGAGTTGGCAGTGGATCATTTAATGATTGAAGGTGATTCCAAATTGGTGGTTGGATGGCTAAAAGAACCAGAGACGGCAGCTTGGCCGTATAGGGGAACTTTGAGAAGATTTAAGTGGCTGACTTCAAATATTTCAGTCACAGTTCAATGGGAAAGAAGATTGGCAAATGGGCTGGCAGACCTCCTAGCTAAACAAGGAGTACATAGGAATCAGCTCTTTTGGGCTCAATTGTAAGCTTTATGATGTAGTTAGGAGGCTGCACCTCGCGCCTCTTAGTGGGGAATTGTATGATGTATACTTAGTTCTTTAATCAATAATATTATCGTTTCCATTATCTATCAAAAATATACCGATATTATCCCTTTAGAAATCAAGGTTTTAAACTCTGATTTAAAGCTGCAAATGGACAACTCCCAATCATCTCCGGTGATGACCACTCCCAAGCATCTCCAGCAATGGAGTGATTCCGGCGGTAGAATCATGAACCGCAGCTTGCAAACAACAGGTCGCATTCTCGGGTGATGGAATCGCCAGAGAATACGGTTTCAAAGGAAGACAGATGTTAGACAGTTATGCCCTTAGCTCCAATCAGATTGATGTACCTTTTTGACATTTATTGTAAATGAATAAAATACAATAATTGATTCATGTCATTGTGGTGTGTTTCTATGTAATACCCTTAAACTGGACACTTATGAGACTTTTGTTAGTTTAGAATCTTCACAGTTGTTGGATAGATCTGGGGAGATTTATCCTGCCAAGGCTGACACTAATGTGCCGCCAAATTGGTTGGGGTGGCTTGTCTCAACTGCCAGGGTGAGACCTGAGGTACATGCAGTGTGGGTTTTCTTGAAACCATGAACCGGACCAAAATTCTAGTATTGCCCTAGACCTTGAAGACAAATGGGCAAAACTAGAATGTTACACCTGACCCCTAGACTCGATTATGACACTTCACTAGGTGTCAGATCGGGCTGTCTTTGATATGCCAATCAGTGAGATCCTTAGAGGGGGTTAAAACTTGGGTATGTTGGGACAGT